ATTATTATTATATAGTATATATATATATATATATATATATATATATATATATATATATATATGTATATATATATATAAAAAACGATTGTTCTGGTGTATGTGTGTTATAAAAGTTAAACAAATTACATATTAAAATTTCATCGAAATGAAATAAATTTAAAGCAGATTATGTAATCACTGCTTTAATCTAATTACAAGTAATACAAGTATTTTGAGCATATATTCAAGAATTAGGGCTAATAAAATAAATTAATAATATTTATTGTATGCTTTGATTAACTGTGTTTACTAGCATACACTGTTACTACTATCACATTTGCAATACTGATGAGCATATATGTTGCCTTACCTTGGTGTAGTAAATGTGGAAAAGTATACAATGTGGAAAAGTATACATTGCAATCTATGGATCCAAAACTTCGTACAATTATTATAATTATCTAGACTATTGATATCTAGTATGTTACACATTACAAAAATATAAGAGATTGATCTTTTTTCCGATATCTTATTATATTATTCTGGAAATGGCATTTACAAAAGAATAGTTGGAGGATTATTGTAAAGCATGATATTGCTATAAATATGCACAGAAATATATACGTATTTTGTAGACAAAAGCTAATGTTGCTATAAACATAAATTATTTTAAATATCAATGTGCGTTGTTATTTCCGTGAAAAGATAATATATCTAACTAATATATATAAAATAAACGATTCGGATATACACATACTTCTGGTATGAAAAATTATATTCTTATAAAAGATGCATATTATTCTACAAGGAAATAGAAAGACGAATAATTTCTATTATACATACATGATATATTTGAAATTTTATTAAATATATGCAAACTAAGAAAATAAAATAAATAGAAAATGTTTACTTATGTAATTTTAAGAAGTATTTATGTTAAATTGTTATTTAAAATGAGATAATTAAGATAAAATATAAAACTTCTTTCTTTATTAACAGTATTATGTACAAAATTCGTTCCTATTGCAGCTTCAACATACACTCATATATAATTACATCTGTATGTTATGAAATCTCGTCTATAGATACAATATATTTTATACAAAATATCTTTATGATTGACAATATGATTAACACATATAAATAGCAGAGGACAAACCCAGTTATGAAACAATATAATTATGTAATAATCTTGCTTGATTGTATATATAGTGTTATATAATACAGCACTTGAAACTGTAAAATAATCAAAAATTCATCTATTCTCTTAAAATAAGACAATAAATTTAACAAAAATATACATGTGTGTATACATTCATATACATATTCCTGAGTTACAACATGTTTTGCATGTACAAAATGTAATTGTAATCTATCATGTAAACAAAATTATCACACTGATTATGTTTCTGATCCTATATATGGCAGTGCTTTACGATAGATAATTTTCAATAAAATTTCTATATTTTAGGCTTGGTTTTCTCACTGCAATTATATTGAATTAGGACGTCAAAAGCAAAAAATGCAAAAAATTTTTTGTGTCTTATAGCTTTATTTTGTATTTTTCCCTTAAAAGCATGATATTTCCATATTCTTAAAATTTGTAAAAAATACCAGAAAGTAAAATATTTGTCTAATAGATCACGTAGAATAATCACATAAAATAATTCTTTAAATAATGTACACTGCTCAGTTATCTGAAATCATTAGATCACTAGATTTAGTTTTTTAATAACTGAGCAATGACCATTATTTCAAGAATTATTTTTTATTATTTTATGTGATCTATTAGACAGATATCTCACTTTTAATGATGCAAGAAACTTTTTACATGTTATTTCTTGTATCTGATGTCACATAACTTACGTCGCATCGCAAGAGAACCGAGCCTTAACACCTCTGATATTTGCTTTGTTACATTAAATTATAGATTATTTACATAATAAATTGAACATAATAATTCTTATGTCACTCATGAGCATCAAGATGGAAATATAGTGGAACAACTTT